GCTACTTTTCGTAAAGTGCACCGTCAAATCGACGATCATTGCCAAACAACAGTTAGTCTACTATGAACAGAAATGAGCAAGCATTCCCTTGAAAGAAAACAATGAATGCGAAACTTGTGATCATATGTTAAAATAATTTTCTGCCTACTAACAAGAAAGATCATGACTCTTTGCTTACAGTACCCTTCGGAAAAATGATTTCATGGGAACTCGCTTTCAAATTATTATTAATCTATCGATTTTATCATCTCTTTCTGTCTTTCATCAAAGAAGTTAGCTAGTTTCAATTGAAAGAAGTTCCGTTTTCTATACTCAGAGTTTTATATATCGATAAATCTACGGATTAAAAAGAATGTAAGTGTAGGTGTACGACTGTGAGTGGAGTACCACAGTGGTTAACAGTATGTATGGATCTTCTCATTACTCACATGATCAATAGTTTCAATGAATAAATTATTATTTTGTTCAACAAATATTTTGTTAATTTACTAAACTTTAATCAAAATCTTTCTAAACAAGGAATGTTATGAGTCATCTTTTCTTAGTTACATTTCATTAAAAGATAGTTTTTTTCTCGAGATCAACCACTTATAAGTTTGTTATCGAAGCATCTTATGCCATTCTTGTTTATTAAATTTATCAACATAAAAAAAATACATGATCTGTCCACTTAGTTTAATTATCAAATATATATTTATAGACAGAATTTTGATTAACCTATTGCGAAACATCAAAAACACGTTTTTTATTCGAGAACAATTGACGTCGACCAAAAAACAAACAAGTTTGAACATTCATCAAAGACGTAAGCTTCATTGCTTAGATTTTTTTCTGTTGTTGTCATGTTGTGCTTCATTTTTTCCTGAAACAAATTGCGGAAATATTTTCATTTCGAATACTATTGAGCTTACTTTTATATAAATGTTCGATGTTTTCAGATTTTATTGCAGTAAATAAGTTCATAAAATCTGATTCGTCCATTACTACAACAAATATATAAAACGATAGATTTTTAAATACAAAACAAATTTTCTTACATTCGTCGTTCACACATTTCTTCATAGATTCTCGAATAGTATTCATTTCGAGATGAATTTTTGATTTCCTAAATTAAATTGAAACTTTTACATACATATACACATAACATAGATATAATTCAGATACCATTTGAGGACCATTAAAGCAGCATCAGCCTTTGCGTGGTCTTCTATAAATTTGATATCACAAAGGACGTCTAATGAAAAACAGTATATGGGTGGAGTGTGGGTGTGGGTGTGGGTGTGGGTGGTGTATGGGTGTGGGTGTGGGTGTGGGTATGGGTGTGGGTGTGGGTGTGGGGGGTGTGGGTATTAGTGTCGCAGCCGAAGTTAGTAGGGGTGAAAATGAAAAGAAGATTCACAACTATGCTCTCACCCACACCCACACCCATTAGAGCGTCATCTGCGTTCTTGTAACATTATATTTCAAGAGAAACGATTGAAGATGAGGGATATTTTCACATGAGTAACCATTTCTCAAGAATATTTTAACCAAGTATATTTACTCGGAAGAACTAGGGGTGGCACTTTATCTTTACTTTACCGGGTAAAGTAAGGTGTTGACCTTTACTTTATTCGGTAAAGTAAAGTATTTTTGTACTTTACTTAAAAAAGTAAAGTTGAAAAGTTCGATTTTTTAATTTATCCATGAAAAATATTGCTTTCTAATTTTCCTCTGCAAAGTAAAGTAAAGTTGGATCACTTTACTTCACTTTACTTTTTCAAAGTAAAATAAAGATAAAGTGCTACCCCTAGGAAGGACATTTCTTCAAGGACGAAATGTTGTAGACATTTTTTTCCGAGGGCGAAGACTTGGAGATATTTTGTAAAGAACATTCTAGACTGTTACCCACACCTACACTCCCATCTTCATTAGAATGAACGGCTTTACTATCTAGGCCGTTGTAGTTATCTCTGCGTCGGTTTATGGCATGACATTTTTAGGTAGAAGATGGTGACTCAATAAGACATCGATTCGAGTCCACACTAGAACCAGGTTTTTTAACTCAGTTTTGATTCAGTTTATACTAGCTGATTTTGATGAGAACACTCCAGACGTTGAAGACTAATAGTAGAGATTGACTATATTCAAGCAATGCCAATTCAATTGGAGGCTCTTTTTCTTGCATAGAAAGGATAAAAAGCAAAGAAAAAATATAATTATAATACAAAGCTCATATATAGAATGCTTGTGTTGGCTTCGCTAACGCGCAAACAATGATATATATATATTAATAAATCATAAAATGAAGAAGTTGGCTTCTGGACGTTCTTTCCATGATTAAATACAAGAGAATCGAAAAGTGGCCATACAACTGCCACTATTGATCAAAGCTTGGAATCATTATTCAGATGAAAAAAAAAATCTGCTGTCGATACAAAACTCATTTTAATCAATTTCAGCAAAGCCAACTATGAGCCAACAACACTCTTGTCATCTGCCACTGTCTGACTGGACAATACCAGAAAATGACAGCACCCATACGAGAAATACATACAGCGGAATCAATCCAAGTAATGTTCGTTCCAGTACTATGTTTTTTACCAATGTTGAGGATGATCGCTCAGAGGACAAAAAAAGAAGCAGGTGAGTGGAGCTGATAATCTGTTTAGCAAATATGTATTTCAATATCACGACTTTTGAGATTGAGATTTTTGTGGGGAGCGATGAAGTGCTGCTCATGCATGCCGCGACTTCTCCCAGGTATACTGCTTGGTTTCCTGATGGGTGGTATAGTTTTGGCAGTTGCACTTACTCTATTCTTAACATCAAAGCAAGAACCAATGACAGCAACGGGTATGACAATCACTAAATATTGAATTTCAGCTAATCGATTCGTGATTTTACTGATACCAGCTTTTTGATTAGCTTCTATCGAATTAACATCTCACAATAGTCAGTGTTCAATGAAACACAAAAACAAACATCATTTTTTTAGTTTTATGAGGGTAGATAAAATCACAATTGATTTTAAGTTCATCTGAATTGTGCAACTAATTAATAGAGGACTCATGCAATTTCTGAAAATAACATGTTTCGTTTCGAATGTAGAAGGCAATCATTTCATTGGACTTTTACATGTGACACGATACTATCTTTACTCGACACCAAAAAGGAGCGAAGTAATTAGCAAATCGATTCCATTCGACTCAGATCGAGCCGAGTTCGACTTGAAGAACTCTCCTTTTTAAAAAATTCTGAATCATTTTTGAAGCTAGTTCTCGCTAGTGGCTTCTGTAATCATTATTTGGTCAATAAAAGTAGGAAATGCGGAAAGATGATGAGCAATTGTTTATTTCCTTTTCATATCTCTACTTCCATATCTAGCCATCTGTCTGATTCACCTTTTCATCCCAGAGTATGCATCCTCTTAATAGGTTCACCGGAGCCCCTATGTCATTTTTTTTATCAATGTATTCATCAAAGCTTTAGGTTAACTTATAACCTAAATACCACGTGAATGAAGAAAGAAAATTAGAAAAAAACAATTTTTTTCAGACGAAAAATTAAACATGTAAGTGGTTTTTACTCAATTTCGATCCATCTCAGTGAATTTTTCTCAAAAGGAATCCATTTTTCCAAGACATGCTTAGAGCATGGACATTCGACGCAAGTAATTCATGCGAATTGATAAGTTCTATTATAGATTATATTCTATAAATTCTATTGCGATGGATTGAAACTAAGTACAACTTATGAGTGCGAAATGAATGTGAGTGTCTGCGGGTGTAGGGGGTGTGGGTGTGAGTAAGGGCGTGAGCATGGATGTTAGTGTGGGTCTGGCGTAAAGATATGGATGCATATGATTCGTACAGCCACACCCTACAAAACAATATAAGAGATAAGTCGAACTTCTTATTGAATCGAAAGACCAAGATGTGTTCTTGGGTACCTCAACTTCTTGAAGACTATCATTTATTAACAAAAGCTTTCACGAGTAAAATACCCACTGATGAATTACAAAGAGTCAAATTGATTAACATTTTTAGCTATATCATTAACTTTAGTAATTACACAGTTGACAGTGTTCCACTTCCGTAGCATTCATGGCATTTAATGCAGTTGATAATGCACTTGGTCTTATGCGGATGAGTAGTATCATCGAGTCAAATAAATGATCAGTTTTTATTTGTCCGATATATGAAATTTCCAAAACGTTCGCATGTTAAAGATTTCATATGGTTATTGGTTGCGAAGTATAAAACCCATGTAGGAAATTTAGACGAAGAATCAGAATAAAATTGATTATTCTTTTAGTAAAATTCGATTAAAATGACGCTATTTAGTTCTGCTTGAAATCTAATTTCCAGCTCTGAAGATAGATTTCAATTGATTTTAGTCGTTTTTGATCGATTCAAATAGTTTAAGTCACTGGAACTATTTCTTTTAAATCGATTAAGAATAATAAAAATCAAATGAAATTGATCTTCAAAGCTGAAAAAAGAAACAGATTTTTATCGCATTCAAATAGTATCATTTTAATTGCTTTTTAAGTTAAAAAAATTGATTAAAACCAAACTCTTCCATTATCTAACACGGGAAATCTTCTCTCAAAACAAGAAATACAATTTGAACCAGGAGGCCTGTTTCGAGATCTGCTGTATAGACACTCAGAGGTGATTCTCGCTTGACCTTCAAGCGGATCGCGAAGAAAATAACAAGCAACTTTGTTTTTTGTTGAATGGTTCCCTTATGCTACATATTTCAATGCCGTAGGGTCTGAACTAAAAGCTCTGTTAATAGTTGATTTTTCGTCATGGATAAGTGGTGAACACTTGACACCTCGAATACTTTATTCTAATTAACTAATTTTGCAATTAAACACTCGTGACTCTTTTAGGATCATGGAAAAACTGTTTCCGATTGCTTAAAAACGAAAATTTGCGACACCATTAAAGAAACCTAAGATTTAATTAAGTTTCCGTAAATATTTACTCATGAAACTTTTCTTGGTAGATTCGATGTCAACCGCTACTACAACATCGTCAACGATTACGGCTACAACATTGACATCAACAACCACTACAACATTGTCAACGACTACCATTTCAACATCAACATCAACAACAACTACAACATCAACATCAACAACAACTACAACATCGACATCAACAACCACTACAACATCGTCAATGACTACCATTACAACATCGACATCAACAATGACTACAACATCGGAAACAACAATAACTACAACATCGGAAACAACAATAACTACAACATCGGAAACAACAATAACTACAACATCCGAAACAACAACGACTACAACAAGTAAATTTTTTTAACATACCTTTCATTGAAATACAACGAATCATAAAAAGAGTTATGTCGCAAATTTAGAACACGAAATACTAGATAGGATATCTATTGCTAATATTTCTTGTTCGTCTGGTGAATGAAATGAAATTTCTAAGGCTTCAAATTGGAAACGTATCTTAAGCAACGAAGAACTTTCAACTTTCACATGGGACCTTTCCAACTTCCACATTTCTCTCTATCTACTTGCAAGATAATATTTGATTGAATGCTTTTGAACTGGAGAGCTTTAATGAGAAATTTTCAGTAGGATTTGTAAATACTGTATTTCTCTCATTGCATTTTTTTCAATGTTTGAAAATCGAACAGTAAAAAAGTTGCTTTGGGAAAAGCAAGATAAATCATATTCTTCGCGAGCTGTATTAAAAATTCTTTCGCCATCTTATGATCTCACTCGACAGAATCTTTATCCGAATATGTAATCTCTTTGTGTGCTTCATTATTTCATGTCCATTTAGCTTCAACAACAACAACAACAACGTGTGAGTTTTTAATCATAGTATGTAGTATTGATCGAGCTCTAATTCTGTTTTACTTTGGATAGCACCATCATGTACCAGCCCAAATACGGCAGGAGCAATTTTTACCATTGGTTCTGGCTCTGCCACGACCACTTATACACTCTACACATATGGCTTCACTGCTACTGCTTCATCAGCAACTCTAACATTTATCATTACAGGCGAACTTAACGGTGCCCATCACCATTGGTTACTGGACAGCATATCTGTGAATGATACAGTTAATAACACAAATATTCTTGTGAATGGTGGATTTGAGACAGGCGATTTTACAGGATGGACTCAATATTGTGCTACGAGTACTAATTGTGATCCAAGTGCTTACGGCCAAATAACAGCAAGTCCTTGTCAATCGGGAGCATACTGCTACATAGACAAATGCGGCAACAAAAATAATTTCGATTATCTGATCCAGTCCTTTCCCACTGTGAGTGGGAATTATTACTTGATAGCATTTTATTTGAAAATCAACAATGTTGGAGCAGGTTGGTTTGTATATGTCATGTTATACTGACTGAGAATGGTTACTTCAACAAATGAATGGATATATAAATCAATAAATAGACTTGACATAAAAATATTTTGTGTGAGCTAAATACTCTTTTTTGAAATGATCTTGACTACTTTTTACATTTAAATTATCGAACAAACCTATAGTGATATCTGAAATTCATGAATTTTTAGAATCAAATAAAGTTTTTGCATGTATTTTTGGCAAGAAAAAAAAAGCATATTTCTCTACTTCAGAAGTACGAAGAATTGCAAAAGGACAAAGCAATATAAAGGGGTATCAAAAACTACAGAAATATTTACAAAAGGAAGATAACAAAGTTTTTGTTAGCTTAAAATACTCATTAAAAAGTAAAATCAAAGAAAAACACAAGAAAACTGTTATCGCAATCCCTGTGAAATAAAAATGTGAAACACGATGAGATTGCTGGTATTTTAAAAGATATGATTAATCATTATATGTTTAGATTTATGGATTCCTAGCAACGGTTAATGCATGTTGATGATGAGAGATATTAATTGCATTATTCAGGATGATTCATCAACATCTTTACAATTAAAGGGGGGGGGGGGGAGGTATGAATGAAAGCAAGATTCAGACCCGCATCTACACCGCTCTATTTGTCAGATACACGACGCAATAGAGTTTCCAATGATTTATTTTATATTGAACTTCCTTTCATACAAAACACAAGCAAAAAAGTTTGTTAGCGCAGCTCTTTGGACTGAAATGTGGAATTCATATATTTCCTATAACCTATAATATCAAACGACATTTAAAACTCGTTTCTAAGGTCTGCGATGAGGCTTGGGTTGCTAAGTGTCTGAAATGGGGAGGGGAGCTGTAAAACCTTCGACTGAAAACTTACACTCACTATTTTCTTCGAAAATATTTGCGAGTTTCACAAAACGTAATAAACACAAATAACGAGAAGTGAAATTGAAAATGAGTTACGACATGATTTTTCAAATAAAATAATCAACTTAATATATTTTCTTCAATAAATATAACAATGTCGATGAATATCTAAGCTATAAATTTAAAAATATTATCATCTTGATAATTATCATTAATGAACAATATTTTAAAACAAAAAAGATCAATATGTAAATGATTATCAAACAATTCAAAATCACAGTAATAAACGAAAGTTCAAAAGTTTTGCCGTGATAAAATTTGATGAATTATACAGCAACGTTTATTAAATTCACGTTTATCGGGATCAAAACAATCATGTAGGATTCATAAATATGTAAATGAAAGAAAGCGCCAAGCACAAAGAATGGTCTTGGATTACGTCAAAACTAGTAAAGAAGATTATATTCTGAAAATTTTCTCGTTTTCTAGTGAAATACATGGCATCTTCTATAGAGAAGGATGTGAGTGTGGATGTAAGTGAAGAATAGACTCTGAAATAGACTCATATCCACACTCTCTACCTTAGACTTTCGGGTATACTGTAAAGAATCAGACAACATTTTATGTTTGATGTTGAATCAAATCATGTTAAAGACAAGTGACTACTCCAAGTTTTAAATAAAGACAGGTCTTAATAATATTTAGAAATGCATTTGAGAAGAAGCTAGACTATTATCTAAAAATGTTTTTCTCAAGGTGTACGTGTCAAATGGATTTTTGCTTTTTGAGGAATGATTATTATATAGTGTAGATGAAGGTGGTACACATCCTGTAGAAGTAACACTTTGTTGTTTTTTGAGAAAACGATATTAAGATTCTATATAAGTTTCAATTGTATTTTGCAGAAACCAAGAGCACTTCTCTTCCCATTAACCTCAAACAATAGTTATTGAACTCTATTTATAAGTTATTAAATATTCGGCGAGCGCTTGTGCATCATGATACGTGACAAAAATATGATTCCCATCAGTTGTTGAATCGAATCCCAGAGGTCGAGTTTTCATCGAACTATTTCCCTTAGTCGTTTTCCCGATCAGAACACGTGAAACAAACATGCATCGTTCTTCATTGACATTCGGCTGAGTATAGTCATGACTATAGGCTGCATTCAATGAAAAATAAACACCAACACCGTATGCTGTTCCTAGAATAGAAAAATACTCGAAAGAAACTTTTTTCGAAAGTCATAAATAAAACTTACCGTTCACTCCAGCAAAACTTCTATTAAAACAGTCCTCGATAATTGAATTTGCTGCTTTGTCAGGGCATCCGTGATACAAATGTTTTTCAGTATCAATGCTAAGTCTTTTTTTAAAATCTCGACTATGAGCTAAATATTGTAAAAGCCATCTCTCGTTTTGAATACGTTCAATTTTTATTATTTGAGTGTATTTTCCTTTCATTGTCTTATCGAAATCTGTCAAAATGAACTTGTATTCGTTTGTGTTAGTAGGTACCATAAATCGTAATTGATTTCTAGTTGATTTCTCCCATGTTGCTGGTAGTTGATCTTCGACCGCTGTTCCGAAAGCTACTAAAAATAATTTCTTACGCGATGATATTCGAGTTGCTTATTCTATGGTGTCCACCAACGTCTATCTCAGTTTCATTTTTCCTTTATGATTTGAACCATTTCTTTGGAAAGATTCTGAATCGATTATTTAGTTATTCAATTTAAATATTTTTCTTTCATGCTACTCAATAGATTAGTGGGAACCGAAATGACATCTGATGGTCACAGCAAAAATCAAAGCCTTTACCTTCTTCGGATGCCAAGACTTGCTTACAAAATTCATCATAAATATTTTTTTGCTCAGGCTGAATAACGAATTTGACTGTCAATGATAAATTTCTTGTTTTCAGTTGATTTTTAATTTCTCGAACCATTGTTTTGACTACAATATCTACGGAGCAGCCATATCCTCCACATCCGATGGCTGGGAATGCAACTGATGTGTAATTATAGGAGATAACATTCTGAATAACAGTCCATATGAAATCAACGATCGATTGTCGAAGTATAGAGTCATCTACATTCGGTTTCCATTTAAGAAAAAAGATTCGCTGACAAGATAATTGACCGGGTGGAGTCGAGATCAGAATCGAATTCGGATTGCGTCTGTATTCGGTTTCATATGCAGTTTTAACTTCATTGCCCGCTGCTTCGATTATCGTCTGTTGTAAGGCTATCGACGATGAGCTTCCAATAATAGCATCAACCTATTAAAAGAACAATGGGACATAATATATTTCTTGTAGTGTTTTTATGTTCTCAACTCCGTGTACCTTTTGCGTTGTTATATTTCCATTTTCTACTACAATCATTCCATTTCCAATCGAAACGGATACTGATGGTATTTCTGGAGTCGGTTCTAATGGCTCTAATAAGTTAATTTGTTTTTGAAACTCATCATAAATATCTGTTCTATGTGGTTGTATTATAAAGAAAATGGCAATTGGGTGCACAGTTTGTAGTCGAAAGGCTTCTCCAATTAAAGTTTTAGCAACAAGATTGATCGAACAGCCGTACTGACCGCAACCAATAGCTGGAAATGCGATACTCGTATAATTATCATTCGCTGCTTTTTTAATAGCATTTGAAACAAATGTTTTCAATGATTCACAGAGTAGTGCCTCATCCGAGTTTGGTTCCCATGGAAGAAAATAAATTTCTTTCGCTAGAAGTTGTCCACTAGCTGCAACTGCAGTGATGTTTGTTGAATTTTTTCTTAATTCACTGTTGTATGAAGCCAGTACGGCATCTCCACCTGCTTTTAAGACAGTTTCGAGCAAGGCTATTGATGATAAGCACACGACAATAACATCAGCCTGAAACAAATACCAACTCGGTCGATTTCGTTGACATTATTTATCGTGTAAACTTACTTGTTGTTTTGTCAAATCACCTTTGTGAATATTGATCGATCGACTAGAACACATTGTCTCCCATTTAAATATAAAGTAACTTTTAATAAAAACTAAGGCAAAAATCCAAGTTTTGTTAAGTAATTTATTGAAAAAGGATTTTAACTAAAAAACAAACAAGTATTTCCGATAATTGTTTTATTTAAACTTTTAATATAAGAAAGTTTGACTTTTTAAGCTAAAGGGTGTGGATGGGTGGTTGTGGGAATAGGAATGGAAAGTGGGATTGGGGTAGAGATGATAGGTGTAGGTATTCACAACACTCATACCCACGCCAACAGACAGGAGTAGAACTACTAAGCCCAAAACTCATCTCACGAACTAAGCTTCACATTGCTACTAACTTGTTCGATTCGTTTTGTGTGACTTTGTTTTTATTCTGTTTTACTTATATGCAGAACATGTGAGAAAAAAACCGCTGCAAAATCAACAAATAATTTTCTTCTTGCTTCAGATGCATCAGAATGTTGCTAGACGTGAGAGAGGCACTTGAAAAAATCTTCGGTGAAAGCAAAACGAGTTAGTGACACCAATTGCTTATATGATCCTTTACTGATTCCATCCTCCAACGATGTTTTCACCCAAGCGACGCATATTTTGATAGAAACTTCGAAACAATAGAAGCGGCAACATTATATTGTTCTTCATAGTTGCTATTCTTAAGTAACGTGTCTGTTCATCTTCCGGACTCTTGGTTACAATAGTTTCCGGTGTAGGTTTTGGTGTGAGTGTTGGTTTGGTTGCAATCTTGGATTACATATTATAATAATACATATCAACTTCAAAGTCGAAATTCTCTTCACACAACCAGACCTCATCCTCCTATCCAAAATCACATACTCAAACCTTATCTTTGCAGTATAACTTAGTGGGACAAAACAGAAGATTCTCACCTTAACCCATGTTTACAGCACATCATGGCTACGTAGGAAGGTGAATACGAAGTGTATGCAGTCGAATGGCAAGTTTTCTCATTTCTGTTGATAAGAAGCGTTGCTTTGGAAGGCCAATGCTGCGATTGGCCCGTACGATTTCGTCATCGCAACATCTATTTGATCAAAGTTGATTATTTACCTCTATGTAAGTTGTAATAAGCAAAGAATGGAGTAGACTGCTAGAGCATGGCATGCGTTTTTTTCTTGGAGATTGTTCAAAAATAATGCTGGCTGGACCTTATCTTCTCATTTGCGAACATAAAATCTAAAATTCAATTTTACCTTATTTTTCAATCAATTTGAATTATTCAGATTAAAAATCATTTGAAAAATAATTCAAAAATTGAAATTTTCTCTTTTTATTATTTAAAAATAATTACTTAGACAAATTTCAACAACAGTTTTATTTTGAGCAACCAAAATTTGTAGAGTTCGCTCTTGTTTTCAATACAACTTTGTATCTAGGCTAGGAAGATGTAGAATTCGCTTGATACATGCTTGCAGCATTTCAATTTATTTAGTTAGTTCGTGACACAGAATTGTCAGGTGAATGCTATCAATCATTTTTTTCGTATTAGAACACTGCTTCTTTCGTATTATAGCATGAAATCAAGCATCCATTGGAAACAAATTAATTGCAATCTATTAATACTGTATCTATATGCGACAAGGAAAAATTAGGAAGAAGATGTAAAAATAGAGAAGTTAAAATTTTGGTATCGCTATTCGAATTCTTTTCAAACACATACACCGAGGCGCTACTTCCAATAAAAATTGAATAAACTTTCTGAATTATGATAAAACCAATATGCAATCACGCTTCGACCTTGATCAAAATTACCATTAATCTTAGTCAAATTCATCTCCCCCCCGCCCTTGGTCGTGATGTATAAGTGTTCTTTTCTTAATACAAGAAGTAAATAAATTGGCTTGTTCATAGTAGTCTTGATTAAGATTAAGATTCTTCGAACTTAAGCCTAACCAAAGATGTTACTACGTGCAAAAATATTTTTTTATAAAAAACACCTTGTGCAGTTAACTTATTCCAGTGACCTTGTTTCAATTAGCATAAAATTTCATTGATTTTTTTTAAACAATTTATTGGACTTTACGCATGTCATTCATCAAATATTCTTTTTGGTGGAGTACCAAAGTTCATAATTCATGAAAATCTAATAAAACTTTCCACATTAAATCGGCTGAAATTAAAAAATAATATTGTTTTGTTGCAAGTTAAGTATATTCATCTTCCAAAATTAGAGGCAGCAGTTTGAGAACGTAGTTACCTAGATTTAAATAGGCTACACTGGACACTTATATGTCTTCCTACATTTAGTTACATTTCTATTGCATACACTAGCGAACTCTACATCTTTCTAAACTAACTAGGTTTTGAATTGAACTTTAAAGTTTTACAATATGATCACTTATCAATAAAAACCTTCAAAATTATAACAGTTAAATTTTAGTCGCTTTTCAAAAACAAAACAATTTCTAATTTCTTAACTTTATTATCTAATAAAGTTTAAAGTCTTAATAATATTTTAAAATTTTATTTAACTAATGAAAATGGAGATCGTTTGATAAAAATTGAACCAATAAAATCCTTTCGTTCAAAAATATACTCAAAGTGCATTAGCAACTTTCAAATCTGATCTTAAAAGCATGAGTCATTCGTGCTTGACTGTCGTAAGTGTCGCACTTTTTATGTGTCGCATTTCTTGCGTTCTCCGCTAGGTGATGATATCCAGCGGAGAATGCAAGAAACGCGACACTATTACGACACGAGGTGTTCGTTGCGACAAATTATTTTTTAGTGTGTACGAAGGAAAGATCGAGCAGTTAATTTGTTCTCAGTGTTTACTAAAAGTAAGAATATCACTACAAAATCCTCTAACACTTCTCTGTTATCTATATTTATCAATTTTCTCTATACAAAAAGTATTGCTTGTTCGACAATATGTCGTTAATGCCTACTCGTTTCGTGTCTAACAATCGATGACATCTATAGATGATTCTTCCTGAAGAATTTCGTCATTCTATAGAAATTAGAAAATTTATACTAAACAGCAATCAGTTTTATTGTTCTGAACAAGAAAACATAAATGAAATTGTAACAACAAACCTTGTGAAGAGTATTCACTTTTGATGGATATTGAATGAAAATTTAATAAACAAGTTATATGATTCATAGCGTTCTCTTACGAAAATGCTTCTACGAAGAAAACTTGTAATAATTTCTCTTTCCTATCGATATTTATTGACACTGGCACATTGTGTTGTCATATATATCCACACATTTACATAATAATATTCACTTTTTTCATTTTTTTTTCCTTCGCATTTTCAGACATACATACATTTCTTTCAAAACATGGCACACACAACGAGAAATGGTCGAGCAACATGTTCTATATGTGACAAAGAAAGAATTGTGTATAAATGTACAGGATGTTCACGAGATTTTTGTTTCGATCATTTAGCAGAACATCGTCAAACACTTGGTAAAGAATTCGATGAAATCGAAAATGATCGTGATCAGTTTCACCAAACACTGATTGAACAAAATGAAGTTCTAAGAAAGCCTCCATTGATACAACAAGTTGATGAATGGGAGGAAAATTCAATTTATAAAATTAAACAAACAGCAGATGAATGTAGACAATTATTAACTGAACATAAAAATAAACACTTTATTGAAATAGAAAAAAAGTTATCTCAATTAACTGAACAATTAAAAAAAATCCGTCGAGAGAACGAATTTAATGAAATTGATTTAGACCGATTCAAAATTGAATTAGCAAAACTAGCAGAAGAACTTGTTCAACTACCAAATATTAGGATTCAACAAGATTCTACATCATTCCTAAATAGAATTTCAGTCGTTGTATCATCTGAAGTTCGCCAAGAAAATGAATTTAACGAAATTCATTTAAATGAGATTCAAGCAAAATCATTAGAAGCATATAATGTACGCCCAAATAATTCAAACTCAGAAGATTCTAAATCCTTAATGAATAAGAATTCAATCATTGTATCATCTGGTAAGTGTGGCAATAACATCTGAATTCACGGAAAAGTGTGTTTATAGAAAGACATGAATTTTTTCAAAAGCCTTGACTAAAAGTCAGTACGAAAAACTATCGAGTTTTTACAGATTAAATATAAAGGTTATGGTATTAGTTATACTTCATCCAATAAGAAACAAATCAATATCGTGATGCTTTTCTCGGAATTATTCTTTAAAATTTTTGAGAAATAGAGTTTATTAAATTTATCATATCAATCGGCATATATCCTGATGAAAATAATATCTATTAGATAAGACACGTTCGAATTCCACATCTTAGATTGAAGAGTACGACGACTGTAAACGACTGTACACGATCCTTTCCGTTACCGTAAACGTCAGTAAATAGATCGTGCTTCAGCCGTTTACTAGCGACTATATTAAGGTCGTATACGATGAAACATAGACGTGGAATACACCCAAATCTGTACCAAAATATGGTCATATGTAGGCGGATATTATAACGATAGGACAACATTAATGTCTGTATATCACCGGGAAATGTCGTACTGGCTATTCAAAATAATAAATATCAACGATGGACACCACTGAATTCTTGTTCATCGCCCAACTCCTTATTTCGTCATTTCGACTCAACAATGAATGAAGAAAACCCAGGAAGCATAAATTAACGCTTTTACAGGCCTTTTTCACAAAAGCCCTTTAGATTACCATATACTATAGAAATTAATTAATTTGAATAGAAAAATCACGTTATTTTAAAGCTTGCTGAAAAAAGCCCTTTTGTGAAACACGATCTGAAAGGAGTGCTGAAGTGTTTAGGGGCAGACATTTGCACCCCTCCCCCTCCCCCACAGACCGTGACAGAGAGCCTCAGAAATCACAGACCGCGACAGAAAAATCCCAATATCCATCGCAGACCGTGACAGACAGGCCCGAAACCCATCACAGAATGTGATAGAGAAACTGTGGTTCTAAAGCATTAGATAAACAGTTAGCTACAAATGTATCGAAAGATATGGAACAAACCGATTTCCATTTAACTAGTAACAATAGATTCATCGTGTTTCACATTTTTAATCCCGCAAGGGATCGCGCTAACAGCTTTTTTAACCCTTTCGGGACCGGTGACGCTTTAAAGCGTCATTGAAATTTTACATGATCTGACGCAAGTAAATTTGGATTTTTTTCTGGGTCTTTTCGAAGTAAATGTTGCGGTTGCTTTATTTTACACGTTTGTGTTATGACCTGCATCTTTATCTCTCTCACTACCATTCATGTGTTATAAATTTTTCGATTCTGTCATTTGTATATGTGTTGGATTTTTCCCTTACTGTCATAAATATATGTTGGATGCATTTTTTCTTTTTTTGCTTATCTTTCTTCCCACTAGTATNCACAAGATGCAGCGTAAAAAGCTCTACAATTTACATAGAACAGTTTATTGAAATAAGAAGAAAGGAATTTCCCATTGGTGTAGAAAAATGATCCTTTCGCAGCGTCGAATATTGGTCGCACCGAATTTTGCTGTTTTGGGAAACGAAAAGTATATAATTGAAATAAGCTTTCCTGTGTAGATTGTAGAACTTTTCACGCTGCATCTTACAGTATATTTTGTTTTTTTTTGACGCAAATATATTAATTGATGAAAAAAGGAAAAAAGAATTTCTTGTTCGCAGAGAAAAAATGATTTTTTCGAAGCGTCGAAAATTGGTCGCACAAAATTTTGCTTTTTTTGAAAACAAAAAATACAAAATTAAAATAAGCTTTATTTTGTAAATTGTAGTTCTTTTCACGCTGCATCTTGTGGTATATTTTGTTTTTTTAAAACAATGCATTAAGTGTTGCAAAAATGAAATGCAAAAAGGTCGTTTTTTTTGTCCGAGGGAGAATCACTGAAAATATCCCAAGAAAGTAATAGAAAGAGAAAAAATAAACTGAATAATGCAAGATTAGATTAGATAAGCTTTCGTCCGAACGTTTTTGTTTCTTTTTGTAAGTAACACTTTTTCTTTGTGTGCGAGACATTTTGTGAGACAGAATACAAAAGTATGACAGAGGCAACGTCAGAACCATACGAGATACTTGGAGCAAACAAAACTAATAATGACTATCAGTTACGTTTAGCATATCGGACAAAAATTCATGAATACAAAAAAGATCGACTTCAAGCCCCTGAAAATCGTAAGATTACAGCTGAACATTTTCGACTTATTTGTCGTGCTTATGAAACATTATCTGATCATGATAAACGTAAAAAATATGATCAACATGGAGAATGGATTAGAGATATATCTTTAGAAGACTATACATTACAACAATTAGCTGCTGAACCTGAACTTGCAAATGAATTAAAAATTCGTTTACAAAATGCTACATTAAAGTGTATAAATGCACAAGGTCCACAAACAGGGCACACAGCTCTTTATTGTGCCGCACGTGCTTGCAATGTAGAAGCTGTCTACTATTTAACAGAACAAGGAGCTGAGCCTGATCTACCACAGAGAACAAGAAGTACAGCTCTACATGTATGTGCTTTTTATGGACATCCTGAAATTGTTCGCTGTTTATTAGAATGTGGAGCCGATTATCGGAAAAAAAATGCTGGAAATTACACAGCGGAAAATGAGTCTTATGGTGATGCTGTAAAAAGAGTGTTTATTGATTTGAAAGAAACACCTTTTGTACAAGCAGCTGCAGATCAACTTGATTGGTTTAAAAATAATATTGGTAATATGAAGCAACATATCGATGAACAATATTATGTGCAACGACAAACATTACTTCATTGCGCTAGTAAAAAAGGTTATTTAGATCTTGTTCATTGGTTAGTCGAAGGACAATCAGCCAATTTAGATATTGTTGATATCAATTTAAATTCAGCTTTACATCTTGCTTCTTATGGTGGACATAAATCAGTTGTTGAATATCTTGTTAATCGAGGTGCTAATCCACTTTTACTTAACAAATGGTGTATGACAGCTGAACAAGAAGGTTTTATTCATGGAAAAACTATTACGGATCTATTTGAATCGATGCGTGCACGTAATATGTTTGAAATGGCTACTAATGGTATAGATTGGTGGTTTGAATACTATTTTGGTGATAAATCACCAGATACAGTTAATGACAATGGTGCTAATTTATTGTATGTTGCATGTCGTTGTGGCCAAACATCAGTAGCAAAATGGCTTTTAGAAAAAGGAGCTAATGTTAATATTCAGCTTTTAACAGGTGCAAAAAGTACACCATTACATGGTGCTGTCTTTTATGGGCATGTTTCAACAGTTGATTTGTTATTGAGTCATGGAGCTGATATAAATATAAAAAATATATATAATGTCACTGCGTTTGAGGAAGCAAGAACGGATGCAATGAAAGAACATTTAAAACAATATCGAGCTAGTTTAAAAGGAAATCATTTTTTTTCTGTTCATCTCTACGGTGACGGTGCAACGTCTGGTAATAAACCATTAACAGAATTAAAGTTACCTTGTAATGCTACATATAACGATCTTGTGAAAGCAATGCCTGACACAATACGGGATAAATATCCGAATTTTTCAATCGCTCGACGTCCATTGGATTTTGAAAAAGATGGCATAACAGTTCTATCAGCTGTATATCGTGCTCGACATGGAAACTCAAGATTTGTCCAATTACCACTATGTATAACAATACATGAAAGAGCACGTTATACACATAGTGGTCATATTCTTCGTGAAGAACTTCCTAATTATTCTACAAATGATATTGATAATGTCTTTTATTCAAAAGGTCAAAGTTCATCAATGGAAATTTATGGTAAAGTGTCTGAAAATCAAATATTTACATTTGGAGATTTATCATTTACATTTCCGAGTAATTGTGCAGATGATAAACTTACAATTGATATTGATTACATAACATCACCAGGTTTTGATGTTTTCAATTTTCACGGATGTATCTGCCTTTTTACAACAAGATATCGTAATGGACGAAGCGCTAAATTGAATGATATGCCAATGGTTTCATTCAAAGGTGTACCAAATGCTCTACTTTATAATTGGGTAAAACCGTCATCTTATTGGTTTTCTTATAGAACAGGACAAAGTCGTCTAATTTCGATTGGTGAAACACATGCTTTTGTTCGATATATTGATATTATTCCTTCTCTATTAAGCCTTCCACCAGATGTGTTTATTTCGAGTGCTGCGGGTAAATCCATAGAAATCCGTGATCAACCGAATTTTTGTTACTGTTTAAAAATTCGTGAACACAATAAAATAAACTTTCCTCATATTGCTTATCATGGAACAAATATAAAAGCTATCGAATCAATTCTTATGGATGGACTTGTTATGCCAAATACAGTCGTCTCAAGTGGATTACGTATTTGTCCGCCAAGCTGCCATATCCCGCGAGGAGTATCAGCCTTTGGCATTGCCGATTTTTCAAATGGAATATTTGTCACACCAAGTATACATTATTGTTCAGATCCAGCATACGCAATTACATTTACGCATGGTGATGAACGTCTTATACCCGTGTTGGAGTGTAGTGTAAAATCTCATTCATTCCAGACTTTTAAATGTACTGTTAAAAATTATGTTGCTCATCCAGGCGATGATATCAATGCAATCGAATGGCGTCTAACAAACCCAGGGGACCTTGAAATCATCTCTGTCCTTTTTATTCCTGTGATAAAATCAAAAAGTGAAGCAGAACGGTCCAGAGTTGAGAAACTCGGTGTTAATCCAGCCGTATTAAGTAAAACAGAAAAAATAACTGGTGGTTTTAAGTCCTTTATTTCTTTTATCTCAAAAATTAATAAAAGCTAAATTTTTTCAAAGAAAGAAAAAACAAGGAACCAGAAAGAACTATGGACGATTGGTAAATTGCAGTCAATAAAAGTAATCACTACGGTATAGAACAATAACAGCTAATGTATATTGTGTGAGTAGCCAGAAAGAAAATCGGAGATATCACCATAAGAACGCACATCCATCTACATAGCACAGAGCGATAGCCATCTTGATAGTTATATTTTTAAGGAGAACACTTTTTTCAGTTTCGTATTTCTTTATGTCAATTGCCTATTCATAAATTGTATTGCATTAAATAGTCGAAATAAGTTCTTTTTTAGAAAAACCTGTTTTGTTTAATCAATACAATATATGTTGAAAGTACTTTTGAAAATACGGGTGAATTAAACTTCATTTCTAATATGAAAGGGCTATTTGATAATACAATCATGATTATTTTCAGCAAATGTTCTTTGCATCCAACTCATCAAGGATATTGTCAATTTTATTTTCTTGGAACTCAAAAGAATATTTTTTTCTTCTTGGAGTGTGGGCGCGAGTGTAGATCTTTTCTTCCATGGCATGCAAACCTGTTTCAGTAGAAGATTTTTTTTTGTGAATCTTGTGGGCATTTTATATCCAACTAGAAGAAAAATTGATCTCAAAAAGTTAGCTAATGGGTTTTCTCCACAGTAATCGTCACAGTTTTAGTAAGGATTCATGTAATTACCTCAATTAAATGAAGTCTATTGATAGTTGACAACCTAGAACAACACACATAACGAACTGTCAGCTGATCTATAAAAGACTTCTTTTCGAAACTGATCAAGCACAAAGGAAAATTAGATCGAATCGATTGTCATTCATCATGGTTTTACTTCTATTTAAGCAGTTCAGTTAAAATTAAATCAGTGAGCTTTATTCTTGCTGAGGTATATCGGAAAACTTGAAATTGGAGAAAACAAGACTTCAGCTTTCAGTGTCAAAATGCAATTGATTAAGTTTGCGAAAGGATTTAAGACACATTTTCACAAATGACATTGACTGGCTGGAAAAGAAACCAATTTCTTCTAGGCAAATAAAATAAGTTTAATAGAAAAGGTTAATCACATGAGAAATGTTCATTTGGATGAAAACCGATGACGTGGAATAATCCTATAATGCCTTTATGATTTTTAATTTCTCGTATCAAATAATACAAGGATTTTGTTGTTTTTTTCTGCTGATAATTATACAAGTGAATTTGTTATCGTTCGTAAAGACACTGTAAGTTTGTAGATAAAATAACACTCACAATTAACCTTCACACAGGATGAAGAAAAAAAACTTTCCAAGTTATAGAAAGAAAAAATTGTAATTTTTTTTCGTCCTTTCGAATAGGAAAAGAGTCAAGTGGCCTATATTATATGAATCAGAAATGAAGAGACTTTTGCTTATAACAATCTCAACGCGTTTTGTTTATTCGACTATCACTTTTCAGTCAAGTCATTTTTTATAAAGCTTTGAGATTTGATATGTAAGTATCGTTGAAAATGAGCTCATCTTCATGTTCAACAATGATCAAATAAAAACTTTTTTTTATTGTTTAAGACAAATGAATGAAATTAATTTAATAACAACTGAAAATAATATCTTTAATTGTGAACAATCTTGTTGTAATAATTCAACAAAAGATATAAATAATATTGAATCAGTGATCACTGTATGGATACACAATACATCAATAAATAAAAATGAAAATTTTGATTTAATTGAATCTAATATTGAAAATAGTTCCCATCTATTGAAAACCTTTTATGATCAACCAACACTATGTGAAGAATATATTCAAAAATAGTTCAACAAATGTCAAAATATTTTTTATTCTTTCAGTTGAATATGTTCAATGTTTCCTAAAACATCTTCATGATTTAGAAATAATTAATTCAATTTACATTTATAGTCACGATTTAAATAAAGAAAAACAATATAATTATTCAAAGGTAATTATAAAAATAATATAACTGAAGATTTAATTTATTATTAAGAATATACTATATAGGTTAGAAACATATACAATGATCTCAATAAATTAGGAGATGATTTATCATGTGAAATAAACAGTTGTATTCAATATGAATAATTGTCAATAACTATTTTTAAAAAAACAAATTGAAGAAGATCGAACAAGTAGTTTATTAAATAAATTTGTCTATTTTGTTGATTTTTGGCATCCATTATTAATTGATTTATTATTAGAATTACCATTATCAGAAAAAGATTATAATCAACAAAAGGAATATTTCATAAAACAGTGTCGAATATACAGGGTGGCCCAAAAGTCATGTTACCCAAAAAAAATTAAATATCTTCCTTATGGCTCGAGCAAAGAAGCTGATTTTTTTTATCAATGATAGAGGCATCCTCAGGCTTTATATCTATAAGAACAAGGTCAGGAAGAACCCATATTAAGTAGCACTAATGAACTCAACAAAGAAAATTTCACTTTTTCACAGATAGGAANCAACACCGACAACAACACCGACACCTACAGCCACACTCACACCCACACCCTTGTTGTGTTAATTATTTTTCAGAGCGAAAACTATATATCAATGACATTATTTTTCATGGTGATATACAATGAAAAATGATGATAATATTACCAATAATTTTCCAAGTGGATTATTCAAATGTGTTCGTAAAATATCATTATTTGACAAACGTCCTTTTCAACATGATTTTTTTATTAAAATATCTCAAACATTTCCATTTCTTGAAAAATTATGTCTTGAGAATTTTCAACCACAAAATAAAAAATCAGACGACGATAATTAACATTTACGTATCATTGAATACCCTTATATCTGACAGAATTATATTTTAATCGTAAGACTATGAATTCATATTTTCTAAACAAGACTATACACTACCAGTTCTTTTTTTGTATCTGAACAGCTTCTTTGAAAGAAATGCAGAAAAAAACTTTGATGAATATACAGATATTCTAAAAGTAATCAGCCACGTTTAGATAATGTTTTGTCATAGCTAGAGTGTGCGTGGAAGCGTTCCTATTTTTTACAGAAGTCTCTAGACTCACTTTCGCCTCGTTTAAAATGATGGATTATTAGAAAACTACGGATAATCACATTGCAATCTTTCAAATTATCATCTGAAAGCTAAATAATTTCTTATTACTCATTAGTAGATTAAAATATCTACACAATATTGTAAACTACAGCTCTCAAGTTTAGGGATTGTCCAGAAATTCTTGTAAAAATGAGTCCAATCATTAGATTTTTGTGCAGATGATAATTTATTCATGAACTCTTCAATGTCGACAATTCATAAACGATATTCGTAATTCCTAGATAAAATGAAACCAACGAAGATCTCTAACTGCTAAGAAAATTATCAATCAACATTCATATCTTATAATGATGCTGTAACTATATTTTTTCTAACTTAAACAAAATAGATATAATTTCAATAGAACATAATTCTCAAAAAAAAATCATTATATCAAGATAATTCAATTCCACTTAAACTAATTCGGATTGATAAATAAATTTAATTGAATTGACTGAATAAAATGAAAATAGTTTTTATTCTAAAATATGTTAGTATTAATGAATTACCTATTTTTTAATCTAATATTATCTAATTATAATTGAACTTTTTCTATGATATGTCTTTTATCAGATAAATTTAAATGATTACGATTTACTTACGAATAAGATTCTTCTTGTTTTGTATCTTTAAGAGTAATTACGATACGAAGCATTGTATAGTATTCCTTCGCAGAGTTAGTTTTATTCTCTCGACACACCATTTTTGTGTAGCGATGATCTAAAGATCAGGGTGTGTGTGGTTGTGTGCGGGTGTGGAGATCGATATCTCCTAAACAACAACCACATCCAACCCACGCCCACACTTCACACCCACTCACCACCACACGTTCTCAATCGACAAACAGCGTATCTTGTTGACTATTTGCAGTGTCATAAACCCAAAAAAGTGTCAGTTACTGCTGAAATTGTAGAGAACACTGTGAAACTTTATTTTCTTCTCAAATATGCAACATTTATATAGAGATAATGCGTGCTCGAATCATTCTGAATGGGTAGAAGCACAGAGACAAACAAGAAACATGATAGAAGACACTCGAGTTTCGTTTCTGTCAGTGGACTTTTATTAATATATGTTTGTTGTCTACGAACTTTAGTTCCTATTTCAATGAGTTTTAATAGAAGTTGCATTTGAAATATCATTAACTAAAGAATTTTACAGAAATTAGACATTTGAGTAGTCAACAGCAAATAGTGTAAGGTATAAATTCCCGGTAATGTCACTTTTCACACAAATCCGCGGATTTGAATGGCAATAAGCTAAATCAAACGCTTCTGAATCAAAAGTGAGAACATTTATGGAAAATCGTGTGCCTCGTTTAAACTTGATATCACGAACACCTCCATCGCATTCTGTTCAAATCCACATACTGAAGTTGCTTGTGAAGTCATTATTTGTTTACACATAGACAGAAATTGAGATAAGTCGACTGTTGTTCGAAAAAAAGTTGCTCAAAAAAATGTAAAAGTACCACTCATTGCAAGTTCGATACCTGGCTTTACTAACTGAACTAGCGATCTACCAAATCCTAACACGGAAAACTTGCTATGCCACGATCTGACCTAACCATCACTTTTACTTAGTGATAGAGACGAAGATATCACACTCTGACTTTGAATGGTCATGAAACAAGAAAAAAATCACTAAAATTTCACCGAGTTGTAGCATCGCAGAAAATGTATACATATATATCATCTGAAAATCGAAAAGGTGAATATGAATGTACGGTCATAGATTATTTATCTGCTAAACAATGCCAACGTCTGATTTCTGGAAGAGTCGCGTAACTTGTGTTGATGAAAGGAAGAACGACTTCTAAGTAAATACTAAATGACTGTCGGTGCAATATGCAAATTAATCCAAACAAGATGATGCCGTCACTGTTATAGCGATGTTTTTTTTCATCAATAAAATCGGCACAACTCAAGTGATTACGCATAACTTGATCCATTTAATTTAATCAGGCACGTTAATTCATCCAACCTGAGTCATGACACAAATACACATTGTATTTGCATCGATTGATGCCGAAATCTTCTTATGAATATCTTGTGTGTATGTGGTTGAAGTGGATATCCACACTCATACTCACACCTAGTTGAGCATCAGTGGTACTTAGAACAAGGAATGAAATAAGGATATTTTTCCAACTTTCACCTAGTTAACGATCAGTCATACTAAAAGCCACCAATCGTTTATTTACTGCGAAATGTGAACTGCAATTTTCAAAAGCATAGGGTCAAATAATGCTCATTATGCAAACTGCACGAATTCCGCGCAGTGTGTCGGTCTGACTGCGAACTCCAAAGTAGCTGCTACCTCCAAGGAGACGTCGTTATATACAATCATGCTTCTCCTCACATGATCAAGTTGTGTACACATCATTTTTCAAATTCGCATAGTGAATTTGCCTGCGATTATGGATGCCAGTATGAGTCTTCTCTTCATCCACACTTTATACACCCCACACCCTCAGTTAATCTATATATTGTTGATATTAGTTTAAATTCAGCTTTACATCTTGCTACGTATGAGGGACATATATCACTTGTGGAATATCTTATTTATCAAGGTGCTAATCCACTTTTACTTAATAAATACTGCATGATAGCTGAACAAGAAGGTTTTATTCATGGAAAAACTATTACAAATCTATTTTAATCGATGCGTAAACAAAATATCTTTCAAGTGGCTGCTAATGGTATCGCTTAGTGGTTTGAATATGATATTGGTGAGAAATTCTCGAATACAATTAATGATGATGGTATAAATCTATTGTATGTTGCATGTCGTCATGGTCGAACATCGATTGAGAAATGGTCTTTGAAAAGAGGAGCTAATATTAATATTAAACTTTTAAAAGGATCAGAAAGTACACCATTGCATGGTGCTGTCTATCATGAGAACATTTCAACAATTGACTCATTACTAAGTCATGGAGCTGATATACGTAAATATAAAAAATAAATTTGGTTCGACTCTTGTTAATGACTCACGAACGGATGAAATGAAACAGCATTTAAAACAATATCGAGCTAATTTAAAAGGAAATAATTTGTTTTTCGGTGCACTCATATGGTGATGGTAAAAAATCTGATAATGAAGCATTAGCAAAATTACAATTAAATTGTATTGCTACATATAACGATCTTGTACATGCAATGCCTTATTCAATACGAAATAAATATTCAAATTTTTCTATCGCTCGACGTCCATTAAATTTTGACGAAGACGATACAACAGTTCTATCAGTTGTATGTCGTGCTCGATATGGAAATATGAAATTTGTCCAACTATCACTATGTATAACAGCATATGAAAAAGCCCGTTATGTACATAGTGGTCATATTCTTCGTGACAAAATTTCCTAATTATCCTATGCGTGATTTTCATCGTAAATATAGTTCAAAACGCCGAAGTTCATCAATGAAAATTCATGGTCAATTGACTGACAATCAAACATTTACATTTGAAGGTTTGTCGTTTACATTTCCAAACAACCGTACTAATGAAACTTTTCAATTAATATTGATTACATCATATCACCAGATTTTGATTTATTCAATTGCTCAGAATGTATTTGTCTTTCTAAAACAAAATCTCATAATGTAAACGCTAAATTAAATGATATGTCAACGATATTATTTATTGATGAACCAAATGCGCTACTGTATAATTGGGTGCAGCCATCATCTTATTGATTTTCTTACGGAACACGACAAACACGTTTAGTTTCAGTTAGTGAAACGCATGCTTTTATTCGTCATATTAATACTATTCCTTCTCTATTACGTCTTCCATCAGATATGTTCATTCCGACTACTGATGGAATGCCATTTGAAACCCGTACTAACCCTGTTTCTTGTCGCTATTTAAAAATTCGTAAACACAATAAAAAAGACTATCCTCATATTACTTGTCATGGAACAAGTATAAAAGATATAGAATTAATTCTTATGGATGGACTTGTTATACTAAGTATGGTAGTCTCTATTGAATTACGTATTTGTCCAGCAATCAATCATATTGCATGACGAACATCAGCTTTTGATATTGACGTTTTTTCAAATAGAATATTCGTAGCGCCAAGTATACACTATTGTTCAGATCCAGCATACGCAGTCACATTCACATATAGGGATGAGTGTCTTATAACCCGTTTATGAAGTGTAGTGTAAAGAATGGTTCATTCAAGGCTTTCAAAAGTACTATGCCAGGTTATGTTGCTCATCCAAATGATGATATCAACTCCATCGAATGGCGGCTGACAAATCCAGTAGACTTTGAAATCATATTTGTACTCTTCATTCCTGTGATAACATAAAAAAGTGAAGCAGCGTGATCGAGAGCTGAGAAACTTGCTGTTGATCCAAGTAGTGTTAAATAATAAATGAACAACAAATATTATATTTTTAAAGTGATTACTTTTTCTAATTTGTTTTTATTTGTTATATGATTTGCCTGCTCATCAATTATAGTGTATTACGTAATTGAGTTAAATCTTTTGGAAAAAAAGAACTCTATTTTAACCTATACAAGTCTCGTTGAAGAAATTTCAACTACCCAAGCAGTCAAAAAAGTTAAATTGATGCATTATAACGATCGTTTTGCGTTTTATCTTGTAATGCATTTTACACAGTCAAAAATGTCCGAATTTTGCCGTTTTAACAATCGCATTTTTTTCAGCTTTCACATCGTTAAAATGGTAGAAGAGACAAACGATTAAAACGCATTTTCGAGATCAACGGTTTAAAACGCGTAAAATCAGACATTTTTGACTGTGTACAACGCATTTAAACTAGGGAAGAATAGATATAACTCACATACCTTAATATTACAAACAACATTAAAATACACTATTTACTACTAAATAAGAGATACCAGGTAACATCGGTTCGAAGAAAGTCGGAAGTTAAAGAGCATATAACAGTAGTTTCATTTCTTTTCAGAGAACAGGTTCATGGTCATGTAAATGTAAATATCGAGTGATAGCTGTCTAGCAATTTTTTTTGTTTTATTTTATCTTCCAAATAATAAAAAAAATTTACAAGAAAAGCTAACTCAAGTGTTAAGGATGTCATGCATTCTAAATTTAAATTGTCGGATCTTGCTTATTCACTAGAAGATTTTTTCACTATTTCGAAGACAAAGTAAAATGTTAAATTTCGCTAGAAGACTATTGCTCGATTATTTACAATTACATGGCCCTGAATCTAATCTCTGAAAAGAAATGAAACTACACTACTGTTATATGCTCTTTAACTTCCGACTTTCTTCGAATCGGTACTACTTGGTATGTCTTATTTACTAGTAAAAACTGAACTTTAATATTGTCTGTAATATGATGGTATGTGAATTATATATATTCTTCCCTAGTCTTAGCCACAGTTCTTACTTATTGGATCTATTTAAAAAGCTTTTCGAAACTAAACAATGAAGTAGAAAAAATGAAGCGCCCGTCACACACTATTTTTCTCTATAAGCACTATTCACCGAAATATATAGCACAATGAATCAAGTACCTAATATAGAAGTTTCTTTTTTGCTACTCTAAATATATTTGGTAATGCCTTTTCATATTTAGAAAGTATATGTTGTGGTCAAAATTAAAATTTTAATTTTGCCCAACATAATGTCAGTCAAAAGCCAAATTTTAATTTTGACTGGACAAAATTAAAATTNTACTATGTATTCGTAATAAGATCATTCGAAATCATAAGGTAGGAAGTCGTCAAACGTATTGGAAAGTACTCGCCAGTTGAAGCTCTTTCATCCTATATATGATTGTGCTGTACATAGTATGAAAAGTCCAATGGGCCAAATTACGGTCTTATGCGCCCCTGTCCTTTCTATGATATTTTAATGGTCATCAGAGTTGTCTATGGGCAAAGAAAGTTTCAGGTCAAAATTTCGTAATTCGATTGCTTCATATATGCGTTACCAGAGGAGAAAATTCAATAAAGCAGTCAGAATTCAAGAAGTACAAGGTATTGGGATGCACCCTTCTAGAATTCTCTTGGTCACATCGAACTCTTCAAGATGATATACATCCGATTTAAAATAGCGCTTCACACTTGGGATCTTTTCTCGTTAGTTACAGTTGTCAATTACTCAATGTTATAATTTAAATACTTTATTGGATTGCTGCAGATATTCATACACGATGATTGACAAAAAAATGCCTCTGTAGGATGCAGAAATCGTGGTATACCACTTCAGTTTGAATGTATAAGGAGCGAGTGTGGGATGTGGGTGTGATGGGAAGAACAGTCGTACCTATACCCACATCTACATCCACACCCACACCTTACACCCACACCTTACACCCACACCCATGCCCACATCCACACCCCACATCCCACACCCACACTTATCTAGGAAGAAAATTTTCATCTACCGTAGTAATTTGAACTAAATTGTACAGTTTTGACCATAACCATGAACCCTAATAATGCCGGTTAGGAGAGCGAAAACCTACGGTGATGCGCGGTTTCTAGCATTTTACGGACTAGTTGGGGCTCAAGATAACCGGTGATGTCCGTCTAGCAGACATCATCGTAGGTTTTTATTTTCTCAGTGGCGATGTCGTTAGCCTGATCATTACATTTGTGCAGGAGAGTGTCCCGTACACGACCACACTCTGAAATCAAGAATACGATTTGAATGCTTAGGGTTAAGGTGAATATGACCAGTTAGAATATCAAGAACTTACTGAGATGATCGGGTTCGCTGATTATTCAGTCGTCTGCATGCTTGCATCAACCAGTAGTGCTGTTACACCAGTCATTAGGATAGGTTTTCATCGTTCAACTGGCGCTTTTGTTAGCCGAATCATTCTAATCTGGTATGAAAGAAATATTTAATTTGTCACAGCGTCGTCTGCTGAGGAATATAGCCTCCACTATCGCGGTTAAGATCAATACTATCAATTTAGAACCACAAAAACATACGGTGATTACCGGTTTCAACTATTACTTAGACAATTTAAGGCTCAATGCATCCGTTGATACCAATGCTCCGGTCTTCACCGTAGGTTTCTGTATCATTACCAGCTTGATTCTCCGCCATATCCCAAATTTCTGATGACCATTTGCAAAAATCACTTCATTAGTATAAGAGATCAGTTCTTACCCGAAAATTAATTGTGCACGTTTCTGGGATGTACTACATATCATAAAAACAAGAAAACAATATAAATTGACCGGTGCGCCGGTCCCACTGCTCCACCGTACCAACCAATGAAAGATGCACCGTCACAGGTGTATCCATATTATCGACCTATATTATACGATTAATAGGAACTCTAAGTTGAATCTGACTCTAGTTTTCGATAAAATCATCATATGAGATTCAGAACAGATTCCAACTACAATTTGATAAAATCTTCACAAAGAGGCTGCCTAATATTTATCAGAGGAGCCTTGGTAGGACTTAGAGTGAATACTGAGAGGGGCCTCAATGGTTGATTTCGAAAATGTGTGAACAGGAACTTTAAAAGAGTTCTAGAAAGGATCCTTTTCAGCCTTGAAAAATCCTGAAAGCAGGAAATAATAAGATTCGGTGGAGAATCTTAAATTAAAACTGGCAAAGTCCTCAAGATACAGGATTTCAAAAGATCCTTACAAGATAAGTCAAGAAATAACCAGAAGTGAGTGTATGGAAAGATAGAAATACTATAAGCTGCCTTTTTTAATGCCGTCGCGGCAGTAGTGTGGCTTCACAATTTGGAAACGTCCGCGTCGTAGCATCAATTATTTGGCAACCTCAGTGGCTAATTTTCAATCGCAATGAGCATCTCTGGTGGTTGTATGTGTTTGCTTTATTAACATTCATACTCTTCTTTAATTTTTTTGTCAATAGTATTTTCCATTTAAGGTATTTACTTTGCAAGGAATAAAATTTTCTAAACAGTTAATTTTTTTAATTTTACGTTTTGAACAGTGACGAAAAAGATAGCAGTAGGATAGGTTCTTCTGACTCTATTGTATAAATATTGTTGCTTGCATTTTTTTTCTTTCATTTTAGTCATCAATATTACCGCATCGCGTCCTTGTCTAGCCTAAAAAGAAGTCGATAACCTCGATTTTGTGAAACGCGATCTGAAAGGAGTGTTGAAGTGTATAGGGGTAGAAGTTTGCAACCCCTCCCCCCCTCCCCATCACAGACCATGATAGACAGGGCTTGGAACCCATCACACACCGTGACAGACTTGGCTCGGGACCCATCCCAGACTGTGACAGACAGGACTTCAGAGACCATTATAGTCTATGAAAGAAGACTTCAAGGAAATATCGGAGATAATGCATAACTAATATAGGATTGGAGCATATGTAGAGTATTATCATGTTCAAGCTCTGTAATGTAAAGTAAGCCATGATGAAGAAATGCGCCCCAATATGCATGCATAAAAAGCAATCGATTTTAGAAGATTGGCAACAGCAGCTACATCGTGTTTCACATTTTTAATCCCGCAAGGGATTGCGCTAACAGCTTGTTTTTGACATAAGAATAGGGTGCGGGCTGGAGGAGGGGGAAGTTAGATTAAGTAGTAAAAAAGAAATTGAGAAAGTGAAAATGAAACTCAGCAAAGTAAGCGTTAGTGGAGAGAGGAGTGAGTCATACCCATTCGGGTTGAATCCCTGTTATCTAAAGGATTTGTGGGGTAGTTCTTAAAAGCTCGGTCAGGAACTGTCTTGGTGTGCGTCTCACACTGCCGGGCCACCACTAGGGTGGCTCCTGATCGCGCGCACAAATCAAATAGTCATTTCTCTCATCAATTCACCGTGATTTATTTGAAGAAAAAGAAAGAAAAAAAATTATTCATCATAATGAGCTTATTCAATAGAGAAACGTTGAACACGATGATTATAATAATCGTCAACATAGAGATTGCCATATCTGTCGAAGGACAAACCTTCGGGATTATTTAACTGATTTTCTATTTTTCCTCCACCATTTGCACCCACAATAACAGTGCCCTGTGTGGCTCCATTAGGCCAACGCATCACTCGATGGTTCCACGTGTCTGCCACATAGACGGTACCCAATGTATCGACGAACAATCCATTAGGATAGCGCAATTGTGTCAGAGCATTCCCTTGGCCTTGACCACCAGCGACGACAATTCCTTCTTTTGCACCTTTATTCCATTTCATCACACGATGATTCATGTTGTCTGACACGTAGACAGTCTGTTGTTGATCAACAAAAATGTAGGTCGGAACTTTGAGTTGATTAAGACCAGCACCTTCGCCACGACCACCAGCTACGACAGTTCCTCTCTTGTCTCCTATTTGATATCGTCTTACTTCGTGTTCGTCAGCGTCAGAAATGTAGAGATATCTCTGATCATCCATGGTCAATCCATAACACCAGATGCTGTCAATGAGGATTTCTCCTTGAGTTGTACCACTACGACGAGACCATCGTGCGACTCGTCGATTCTCTCGATCACAAATGATGAGACTATCTGTCTCATTGTCGATCAATACATCGGTGGGATAATTCAATTGATCTAATCGGACTCCTAAGCCATGGCCACCAGCAACCACTTGTCCAATTGTATCACCGATTCTCAATTGAACAATACGATGATTGAAATGGTCAGCGATAACCACTGTTTGATCATCATCAACGAAGAGACCGTTAGGGTGGTAGAGTTGATTAGTGGCACTGCCTGGCCCGTTACCTCCAGCAACAGTCACTCCATTCTGTTCCCATTGGGCATTTACTGGAATATTGGAAATCACTAGAATGAACGGAAAATAGAAAAGTAATCATCATCTTCGTTCCCTAAGAATAAGACGCTCTTCTTCTTTGAAGAGAACTTGATAAAATTTTCGAGAATGCCATTCCCTCGCATACTTTGAACAAGCAAAAGGCTCTCTCTTTCACACATATTAGTTGTGAAAATCTTTCCCCTAGTTGCCTATGACAAAAAAAGAACTTCATAACGATTCTTATGAGAGTTCTGGTCGAGATTTTTTAGATTTTTAGAAAGAATTTTTTCCGGTAGTAACAGTTTTTACAATACTGAGAAGATCAATGCTAATCCTATGGATGCTCCCGATAGGAAAACAAGAACCGGAGGATTTTATTCGTAGCTTATACGATGAAAGGTGAACATGGTTTTAAGCAATTCAATAATGTACACTCAGATTCTTAAAAATTGAAAAAATGTTGACAAGATTCTATCGGAATTTCATTAGCAGCATGTCAAGAATGAGGGTTTTGCTGCTTGGAAAACAAATGAGCATTGTCAACAGTACAGCTTTTGGAATCATTTCCACTTGCCTAGAGAAAATACCTGACTACATGACTTTCTGGATGACGAATACAGATTTGTTGAAGAGTTTTGTATATATTCACATACACAACAAGGGTGTGACTCTATTAGGTTTCTAGGAATTTATGTCAAGTTGTTTGAAGGATTGTCGTGATGCGGCCTTAGCAAGATCATAAGAAAGCTAATAAGCATACGAAATTGAGGCAATTCGAAGGGATTCTGTGGGGAATTTTTGAAATATGATGTATCTGCGTCAGACAAGAATGAGTTGTTGCGTGCGGGTGTGAGTGAATATTAGGCATGTCACAATAACAATAAAGGATCGAGGTATTGGTATTGAATGGTAGTGGTATTAATAGATTTCTAAAATTTTCACTAAAAAAAGGTTTTTTGAGAAAATAACGATTCTTTTATAAGCTCTGTTCATATGTGCTCAGGGTAGGAGAATATGAATATGGAATCAGATTCTCAAACCGTGTACTTGATTTCTTAATCAAGTAAACTTCATCCGGTCACCTATGGGCAAACTTAATATAAAATCATTATTTTCTCAGGAATCATTTGTTTTAGTCAAAAAATCAAGTACCGAAATGTGAAAATCTGGTTGTAGATTCCGATTCCTCGGCCTCGACAACTTCCGTTGAAACTTTATAGAAAATTATTATTTTCTCAAAAAGCTTTTTTTAGCGGAGATTTTTAGAAATGTAGCAATACCAATATCATTTTGTATTGATGTCCGTATTGTGACATGCCTATTAGATGTGAATTTTCCTATTTCTCATTCGTACTCATACCTACGCACACATCATAAGTATTCGATGTTGTTACCATTTTGTAACAAATGACTTATTAGTTTAACATTAATCTTTAAGACCGTATATTAAATTTAAATCTAAAAAAACAAGTTTTATTCGATATATGCTCTCACAAATCAATATCAAGATTATAAATCATCTTTTATTAGATGATAATACGACTAACATAACTAAAAATTCATCCGAATTTAATTTTCAGTAACAGAGATCGATGGTATCTGATTATTTTCTCTCTAGAGAAGGACTCAATTCAAAAGTCTAAAATTGATTAACATGTCAAGATAAACAATAAAATTCATCCTATCTTTAAGAAGCTAACTTAACTATTGCATGTTATGTAAAAGTAATATGTATACAAAGATTGTTTAATTGGTTTCGAGTCATTTTCAATTTTTTTTGATATTTTCAATTGTATAAAGTTGGACAAACATAGAAAAAATATACTTTATAACATTTGAGCTGTAATGCAAAATTGACTATACTCAATTGACATCATTCTTATAATATACGTAATTAGAAACTATGCTAAAATATATTTATCAAATTTTTGTTAGGGTGAGAGAAATATTAGTCACACACACATTATGACTCATTTGTATCCTTCTGAGCTCATGGAGCCTAGAGCTAAAAGAAAGTTTGGTTGTCATTTTTTTTTACACGAACAAGATAAAAATATAATGAAAAAGAATGAAAAACAAATTAGATAAAATTATTTTAATAGTTTTACTTATGATGTGCCTCCTTAATAAGGATATCAGTTGGAGACAATAAATATAAGCATCTGGCATTCTATGAAGATGAATTCCGATTCTCAGAAAAGGTGTTTATCGAGAAAAGATAAGGATTTGTTGAGAATCTTTCATGATCATATTCAGTGCATTTCTACAAATTCCGAGTGCAATTTTAGTTTTGAGTTGACAATACAGTATCATATGAGAAACAGTCTTAATCGTACTCGGTATCTGAGCAAAGTTACCAGAGAGCTTTTTACAAACGATTTTTAAGGATCTCCAAGATATGGCCCCACATTTTTATGCTAGGGCCTTAGTAAGATTTATAGATTCATCTGTCGAGAATCTTAGCAAGAAAATAACAAAATTCGTTCTACTTCTATCGGAATTTGCCTAAAGTCCAGCAGAGTTTTCTTTCTGAATTCGGAATACAGAATCGTCACAAAATATTCCCTTCGTTCTGGCCAGGATCCTAATAGAATTTGCATAGAAGGTTCTGACGAGATTTTGTTAGCATCTTGCAAAATTTTCGTCAAGTTCTTCATCGTAAGAGAGTGATGGGATTTACAGCTACATAAGATGGTCTTAGCAAGAAAATTGGCAGATCCAACAGATTTGCAAATTAAGAAATCCTTACAAGATTCAATGATAACTTCTCGATTCCCAAGAATTATTGTTTTCAGTGTCTCTACTGTAACTGTGTTAAAGTCTTACCATCACGAATCTTTGCGTGAGAGCTGGTAAGCCTAATCAGTAACTTGATTAAGAAACTAACTGCGTGAGTTTGAAAATTTCAGGATACTTCTCCTAGGTTTTTTTCTAAGTTCTAGCAGGAATTTCTATCTTGATAGAAATCGTATAAATCCTAGCAGTGTTCACTGTCAACTCTAGTTATAATCTTAATTCGAATTCCAAATACAATTCTCACAAGGTTTTATCCGGTCTTTGTGAGCACCTGGTCCTAATATTCGAATTAGGATCATCGCAGAATTTGAAAGTGGTTGTGATCAGAATATCAGCGAGATAGTGCAGGTGTGGATACTCACTTTACTCACACTCAAGAATGAGAAAGAGTCCAAAGAATAAAAGATGCATTACGTTTCAAATTAAAGCAAGAATTCGAAAAGATCTTGAAGATTAAAGAAAGTCAAAGAGTTCTAGGAACATAAGATATGCTTTCAATGCAAAGAAGCTTGAGAGCGGGTGTATAGATGCAGAGAAATATCTTAAACACTTTTTTAGATAGAACAGGCGAAGAGGCACTGTATTCTGAAAAGTGTGAAAACCTATGCAGAATAACTTTCTTCGATCAATGAATGACTTATGGAAAAAAGAAGATGGTCGTTTCTGTGAAATTCCATCTTCTGAAAAAACTATGACGTTATTTAAATGAATAGTTGAGGCAGTTATATTCTTTGAGAAAGTTCATTGTTCAGTGACACGTCAAAAAAAATGATTTGGGGTGGAGTGAAAAGAGAACATCGAATACCTCTCGCTTTAAAACCTGTAAAGGCAGTCAAATGACTTGAAATTTGCCGGATCCCGTTTGTCAGCCGTGGTTGTTCTACATTATCCTGCTTTATCGTCATATTTTCACAGACGGATTATCTCCAGTTCTCCATGTTCCTGTCGCCAATACAATCCATGCTTGTGCTATCCATATTGCATGTTCGATAATACGAACCTTCTGACATTTTTTGAATTATTTCAGTATTTTTTTTCCATTTTAAACGAATCAATACTAAAAACCCTTTACAGCACGAATCAATATGTTTCTGCATACTACGAGTAACCTGAATTGGTTTATATCTAGTGTAAGTGACACGAATGGAGGACACATAACAATCAAAATTATCCCTGGACCTATTTTAACGGTTTTCCTAAATGACCAACTAATTAGTTTTTGATTAATCTTGTATTACTTGACAGTGGCATGTTTATTCTTTACTGAAAACTAATTAGAAGGAAGCTCTTTGCGATCTTAGTAGTTAAAACTATGAATGAACTGCTTCGGAAAAGAAGTTTGACAGAATTGAGATAGTGGACTTTAAGATTATTTGAATACAGGCAAAGATCAGAACGAGGAAGTGTTTAGAATAGAGTGCATTCTTATGGCGTCTAAAATCAAATTTTTTTAATTTTTTTTTAACTCAAATAAGGCATTTTTTGTCAAAAGATGACATATGTATTAGTATCGATTAAAGAGAAAAAATGAATTTCGTTTTATAGCTGTCAACAAAACGAATTACGTTTTAATACTGATGAAAATCGCCAACATCAAGATTACTATTACTTAATATTTACTCATGATAAACATTGAACTATTTATTATATAAGATTGTTAATCTTATCAATGTAACCTTTAGCTAGCTACAGAGTAATATTGCATACAAAGTAAATATATGTGCTTAATCAAAAAATAATATTTAGCAAGGTCAAAAAGCGTTAATCTAATGCTTACCAAGCTGCTGGGTAGCGGTTGTAGTTGTAATTGTAGTTGTAGTTGTAGTTTTAGTTATAGTTGTAGTTGTGGTGGGATTGGTAGTTGTAGTTGTGGTGGGATTGGTAGTTGTAGTTGTGGTGGGATTGGTAGTTGTAGTTGTGGTGGGATTGGTAGTTGTAGTTGTGGTGGGATTGGTAGCTGTAGTTGTGGTGGGATTGGTAGTTGTAGTTGTGGTGGGATTGGTAGTCCTAGTTATAGTTGTAGTATTTGTGCCTATTTGTTATCACAGAAAATTTTGTTTATATAAACCAGATAGTTGTAGGTGTGACATCGAATGTGATATAGAAATTGATGCACTGAGGTTTTAGGTGAAGCCTAAGTAGTATTTTCAAAGTAGAGTGACTACCTCAAAATCGTCTGAAAAGTGATTTTTATTTTTCAAAACTAATTTTTTGATGGAAAATCTTGGTGTTCATCAGAGACCGAAAATTCAGTGAAACTTTTGACAATTCGATTCGATGTGATTGGATTGGTTCAAATCAAATATAATCCAACTGAATTGAATTGAACCGAATTCATCGGGATCATCCTGATAAAATTCATCACTTCTGTTGTATTTTGAATACAAACAAAGATTAAAGCGCAGTGGCTGTCGTTGTAGTACACAATCGTTATTCGCAGTACAAAGTTTATGACTTCAACCTCTTACATAAATTGTCATTTGCTCATATGTTCCTCTCAAATCATTAGAATATTTTGCCGTCATACAAACAGTGTGAGTGACATAAACTTTAAAGAATACTCGAATGAGTAGAATACTAATGTAGAGATAAATTGTGACGAGCTCTTTCTCTCTCTCTCGTCCCTCTCGTTGTCAGTCACTTTGAATGTTGACATTCTTCTGTTACGAAAGAAATCTCAAACGCTTGATACATGCAGGTATAGCTTTCTCAATGAAGTAGTCGTACCAAGGGCAACTCGTCAATATGCATTCTGTGCTTATTAGTATTTTATAAAGGCAACTGAGTCAGTGGTGCTACAAGCTGTGAAATACAGTTTACATACACAGTAGAGAGCTGCATCTCCATGGCAATCGGGCCCGGGTCTAAACCCGGTGATTTTTTTCATGGGGGTGAAAATTTGAAAAATGATCACGTAATATTTGAATCAACTATCTGAAATAGCTGAAATGGGATGAATGTGTCAAATATTACGTGATCTTTTTCAAATTTTCACCCCCATGAAAAAAAAACACCGGGTTCGGGTATAGACCCGGCCAGGTCCGATTTGCAGCTCTCTAATACACAGTCGCATTACTGATCATTAGTGGCATATTTATTTCATTCAATGGCTAAAGTCCTCTTGAACTTTAGCAGTTATTGCGCCATAGTTAAATGCTTAGCACTTAGTTTCGCAAGTTTAATCGTTAGAAATATGACAAAGGCATTTATCAATACGTTTTTTTCCGAGCTAGATGTCGATCATAGTTGTTTTAAAAAAAGGCTGTCGAGTGAAGTCGATATTCAGAAGAATCAATCAAATGTACGACGAAAACTGTGAATAAAGAGAAACATGACGCAATAGAATTGATGTGCTCTTATGGAGACCCTAAGATATGCCATGTTCTGCAGGGTTAAATCGAATCGAATGATCGATTGTTCAATTTGTTTCGGTCTCTTATGTACATTCACAAGTTCGCTTCGTCTTCATGCATTGCTAGACATAGCTGCAACAGTCTGTGTTTCAAATTAATGGATATAGCCCATTAGAAGAAATGAAGTCTTTTCTCCAACAAATTACAATTCGTTTTGTCTGTCATACTTCATCTACTTTTTTTCAAAGGCTCTTCAACTCTTCCCCACCGCTGCTACATCAGCATGAATTACATACGGGAAGGTGTGTGAATGTGAATGATGAAGAAATAACTTAAACAAAGATTTGAGTTTCACTTGAATTTGTAGATTAATGTTTTTTTTTCTTACTTGCTATCGGTGGACAGAGTTGTTGATTGAAACTCGGAATCGGATAACAAACAGGAAGATTGTGACATCGAGGATGATGAACACATCTATGGTTAGGTTCACGACAAAGGTTGTTCAAGTGTTCACATATAACTAGCTCAGAACAGTCAACGAATTCATCGCCACAAATACCAATGTCAATAGCACCTGCTACATAGAAACAGGCGCACGCACTGTTTGGCGAACATCGAGCATATTGAGACATCCCATGGCAGAATTGAGATTTTACTCGAACTAGCGACATACTAAATTAATAGTAGGACATGTAAAATGAAAAAAGAATCAAACCTGTAAGGCTTAAAAGGAAGATTGTTCAACTTTAGATGAATAAGAAACAACAATTCTACAATTACCTGAATAGAACGAATACGAAACAACGAATTACTGTCGAAACCATCACTTGCATTGAAATGAAACAGAATAGTATCGGTACTCGTCTTTATATCTAACGAGGAGGTAATTTTTTTTGCGCTTAACGAAAGTGAAGAAATGCACGACAGGATTTTTCGTTAAATAGAAATTGGATATTGCTCTAACGCTTAAGTGCTTAGTTTTTCTCCAAAAAAGTAATCTTTATAGAACAATAACCGCGATAAAAGTAAAAGGTGGTTGCTTTTACGTTACAAGCATTGCGTAGACTTGTGTCACCACTCTAAGCATGAATATTACTATTATCAGTCATTGAGTTACTTATACAACGTCGAATTAGAATAACTTCAAAAAGCAAAATTTAAAAAAACTGTAGTTTTGACTGTAAATAGTTAACAGAACGCTTCGCCTTGGTCAAATCAAAGACACAACCTATAACTAGTCGCATTCATTTGTACTTTGAACTGTGTCTTCGTTGTATCTCAACCATTTAATCGTTTGACTTTCACCTCCAAACCTCATTTTTAACATTAAAAACTACAGTTTAATAAAAGATTGTCTATGAAAATAGTGGCGTCGCTAGGAATACTGCAGCAGTTGGAGCTGTTCGTGAGCAAATAAGTTATTTTAATGTGGAAATAGAATGGTTTCATAAGAATAAATGAGGTACAATTTTCGCTCATTTTTTTGGACTGCTCTATAAAACATATCCGATGAGATATAAACAATGATAAGGAGAAATTTGTATCGATCCTAAATATGAAATGATAAATATTAGTGTCAGTTTTCATTCAAGAATGATAAAAAAGATTTAATTTCGAAAATACGAGAAAATATCAAACTTCAGAGTCTTTACAAAATGGAATATTGAACTACAGCAGTCATCAAAGGCTCTACTACCACATACAAAGCATCTAAACGTCCATCTATTTGTCTCACAGTTTGACCACAAGTAGAGTACAATGAACCTAGATCACGAGCAGCAATCAAGACTTGATTAGTCTTCACACAAAGGAACTAGAAGATCACGACAGACAGAGATTTTTAGATGAGGATATTTCAGCATTAGAAAAAACCTCATAGGGTTTGACTCTCATTTAAGAGTACAGTGCTGCCTGATCACCAATAAAAATTCCATATCCAACAATTGTAGTTTGCTTAATTTATGAAGTTATCTTTGAGTACTCTTAGCATGAGAATTGGTAGAATTCGTTGAAATTTTCTTCAGCAAGTTCTCTGCTCTAATAAAGTATAACGCAAAAATTTCATGCTTATAGCTATTTATGGAATAGAGACATATGAACAGACTATTCCAGATAATGGAAACGTCACTGTGGCTCAGGATTACAGTAGAATGGAGTCGTCTTCTAAATATGGCACAGTAGGCCATGTGGAGTTTTATTTATTAATAAAAGTATGGATATTACCGCTTTAGACTAATGATAAACCAGAACTGTCAAAAAACAACCTTTATTTGAGTCTTAAGGAAAAAAACAGTTTTTTCTTTCTAAACTCAATGCATTAAGGTCGATTGGTTCTTGAATTGATGCTGGCGAGCAGGACTTACAGAACTTTGTCAGTAGTACAACTATGAACTAAAACGATTAAAATTTCTATACTTTTTACCTCATGTAAGAACTTTTGGCGACTACTCAAAGTTATGTTTCATTTTCAAATGCATTCATGCATATTATTTCAGTTATTCTAAAACTTTCAGCTACTGTTTAGTTTAGAACAACGACATTTCCTTTTTGTTATAATTAATTTTAATATTTTCAATTTTGTTTTTCATAGTTTTCTTTGTGAAGACCTTGAAAAAACTGACGAAATGTGTGATGATATTGGTCTTGCTGATCTGTTACCAAAAGTTCATGAATCAATTTCATCATAGAATGTCTTATCAACAAAATGAAGGATGAAATTCGTAGTATTATTATACGTTCGACATTTTTTTAAGATGTTATGATTCATCTATTAAGTGTATGAATTCTTGATTACTTCTTTTAATGAATTCAATTTTGTCAATTTTTGTTTAGATTGAATGTGCAATGAATATGCCAAAAGTACATTTATTTTTGGTTTGATTTATGTTTTTGTTTTATAAGACAACTAGAAAAACACTATCAGTTTTTGTAAGTCCGTGTTGATAATAGTGAAAAACAATTTTATGCTAATTTAGATGCTTACTATATTACAGGTTAATGAATGCATACATTCAAATTTTATATGCGATATAATTTTTCTTTAGGTCATAAATATTTCAAATAAGTGTGTCAATGTAGTCAGATAAAGTCATTTTGTAATGATTAATAATAATCTTGATTAAAGAACGTACGCATTAAACAATTTTTTGGATGATTTACGAAATATCTATCGGCGTGTTGTTCGTCTTATTCAATATATTGTATTTATTAAACAGCTTTTATATTAATTTGACTGTGATATATAAATATATGAAAGAGTGTTCCGAAAGTTCTGAAACGATTTTGAAATTCATCGTTCTCGCGTTTAACAAAACCCAACTCTTTAAAACTTCCACTAATTATTGTAAATATATAGGATGTGGGTGGTTGTGGGAGTGAGTGTGGTTAGATATAGGTGTTGCAAAAATGAAGATCGACACCCACACCCACACCCGGAATATCCTATTTATCAAGGTGATAATCCACTTTTACTTAATAAATGGTACATGATAGCTGAACAAGAAGGTTTTATTCATGGAAAAACTATTACGAATCTATTTTAATCGATGCGAGAACAAAATATATTTCAAATGGCTGCTAATGGTATCGCTTGGTGCGTTGAATATTATATTGGTGATAAATCCTCGAATACAATTAATGATGATGGTATAGATTTATTGTATGTTGCATGTCGTCATGGTCGAACATCGATTGCGAAATAGTCTTTGGAAAGAGGAGGTAATATTAATATTACAATTTTAAAAGGATCAGAAAGTACACCATTACATGGTGCTGTCTATCACGAGCATATTTCAACAGTTGACTTATTACTAACTCATGAAGCTGATATAAATATAAAATATTAATTTGGTTCGATTCTTGTTGATGAATCACGAATGGATAAAATGAAACCACATTTAAAACAATACCGAGCTAATTCAGAAGGAAATAATTTGTTTTTCAGTGCACTTATATGGTGATGGTAAAAAATCTGGTAATGAATCATTAGCAAAATTGCAATTAAAGTGTGATGCTACATATAATGATCTTGTACATGCAATGCCTTATTCAATACGAAATAAATATTCAAATTTTTCTATCGCTCGGCGTCCATTAAATTTTGACGAAGACGATACAACAGTTCTATTAACTGTATGTCGTGTTCGATATGGAAAAATGAAATTTGTCCAATTACCACTATGTATAACAGCATATGAAAAAGTCCGTTGTGCATATAGTGGTCATATTCTTCGTGACAAAATTTCCTAATTATCCTATGCGTGATTTTCATCGTAAATTTAGTTCAAAACGCCGAAGTTCATCAATGAAAATTCATGGTCAATTGACTGACAATCAAACATTTACATTTGAAGGTTTGTCGTTTACATTTCCAAACAACTATACTAATGAAACTTTTCAATTAATATTGATTACATAATATCACCAGATTTTGATTTATTCAATTTCTCAGAATGTATTCGTCTTTTTAAAGCAAAATATCATAATACAAACGCTAAATCAAATGATATGTCAACGATATTATTTATTGATGAACCAAATGCGCTACTATATAATTGGGTACAGCCATCATCTTATTGGTTTTCTTACAGACACGACAAACACGTTTAGTTTCAGTTAGTGAAACGCATGCTTGTATTCATCGTATTAATACTATTCCTTCTCTATTACGTCTTCCATCAGATACGCTCATTCCGACTGCTGATGGAATGCCATTTGAAACCCGTACTAAGTCTGTTTCTTGTCGCTATTTAAAAATTCGTAAACACAATAAAAAAGACTATCCTCCTATTGCCTGTCATGGAACAAATATAAAAGATATAGAATTAATTCTTATGGATGGACTTGTTATGCTAAGTACGGTCGTCTCTATTGAATTACGTATTTGTCCAGCAATCAATCATATTGCATGATGAACATCAGCTTTTGATATTGACGATTTTTCAAATGGAATATTTGTAGCGCCAAGTATACACTATTGTTCAGATCCAGCATACGCAGTCACATTCACATAGAGGGATGAGTGTCTTATAGCCGTTTTGAAGTGTAGTGTAAAGAATGGTTCATTCAAGGCTTTCAAAAGTACTGTGCCAGGTTATGTTGCTCATCCAAATGATGATATTAACTCCATCGAATGGCGTCTGACAAATCCAGTAGACATTGAAATCATATTTGTACTCTTCATTCCTGTGATGACATAAAAAAGTGAAGCAGCGTGATCGAGAGCTGAGAAACTTGCTGTTGATCTAAGTAGTGTTAAATAATAAATGAACAACAAATATTATATTTTTAAAGTGATTACTTTTTCTAAATTTTTTTATTTGTTATATGATTTGTCTGCTCATCAATTATAGTGTATTACGTAATTGAGTTAAATTTTTTGGAAAAAAAGAACTTTATTTTAACCTATACAAGTCTCGTTGAAGAAATTTCAACTACCCAAGCAGTCAAAAAAGTTAAATTGACGCGTTATAACGACCGTTTTGCGTTTTATCTTGTAATGCATTTTACACAGTCAAAAATGTCCGAATTTTGACGTTTTAACAATCGCATTTTTTTCAGCTTTCACATCGTTAAAATGGTAGAAGAGACAAACGATTAAAACGCATTTTCGAGATCAACGGTTTAAAACGCGTAAAATCGGACATTTTTGACTGCGTACAACTCATTTAAACTAGGGAAGAATAGATATAACTCACATACCTTAATATTACAAACAACATTAAAATACACTATTTACTAATAAATAAGAGATACCAGGTAACATCGGTTCGAAGAAAGTCGGAAGTTAAAGAGCATATAACAGTAGT